AAGGCAGCTGGTGGAAGGATCTAGTCTTTGAACTGGCACCTCTCAGCAAGCCCCCTGGGTGTGCGTCTGTCCCATGGAAGACTACAGTCCCCTGATGGATGGTGTCTGCCTGTGTGGCTGGGGTCTGCCCCCACGGGCAAGGCTGCTGCTACCAGAGACTATTCCTTAGCTTCCCCCTCTCGGCTTTGATCTTAGCTGAAGTTGCAGAACTAGAGACAAAAATCCACTCAACCATTTTGATGCACATAGAACCACTTTCTTTAGGTCTTTCTTCTGTAATTTTTGCTTAAACTGTGATCCTCAGAGTTTCTTAGACCCTCTGAGCTTGCTCCCTCATCTGCAAACTAGTATCTATTTCAGGGGGACCATGTGAGGATAATCTAACACATAGGAAGCTTTCGGAACGTGCATGGCTCGTAGTGGGTGCTGAGGAAGTACTGGCTATTGTGGTGTTAGACCAAGCTTGCTGCCTTTCCTGGGGCCCAGCAGGTCCAGGTCCTCATCAGCTTCCTGGAATTTCCAGACCCCCTGGGTACACCAATGAGAGCCACAACTCAGGAGGCTCCCCAAGCACTTGCATGGCTTAGTGTAGGTCACCCCCAAACACACCAAGTCCTAAACTACTGATGCATTGAATTTCATCCAAACGCAGATTTTAGCCCTTGGGAAAAAATTCTGGATGCCAATGCATACTCTTTTAAAAGTTAAAAAACACAACTCCCATAACAAAGATGAAATGAACATGTATCAGAGATTTACTAATCATTAATGATGAAACAAGTAACATGGTAAAGCTGGTCCAAACAGCATTTGGAGGACCTAAGTACAGACATTTTAAAAAGAATGTTAGAATAAAATTACTAGGTTAGAAATAAAACTGGTTGTGGCTGGGCACGGTGGCTCACAACTGTAATCCCAGCAATTTGGGAGGCCAAGGCAGGTGGATCATCTGAGATCGGGAGATGGAGACCAGCCTGGCCAATGCGGTGAAACCCCACCTCTACTACAAACACAAACATTAGTTGGGTGTAGTGGTGGGTGTCTGTAATCCCAGCTATTTGGGAGGCTGAGGCATGAGAATCGCTTGAACCCAGGAGGCAGAGGTTGCAATGAGCCAAGATTGCACCACTGCACTCCAGCCTGGGTGACAGAGCAAGGCTCTGTCTCAAAAAAAAAGAAAAGAAAAATAAAGAAATAAAACTGGCTAATGTCCTTAAGGCACTACAATTATAACTTTTAGGGTTATCTTTCTACCAAATAGAAATCATTTACATCTCTAGTTGTGGGCTGGAAGAGGGCAGTTGGATCGTAATCAATGCTCTGCAGAAAAAATGAAGCACGGAAGAAAGAATTGAAAGTGGGGCGAGGTGCACTGGCTCACGCCTGTGAGCCCAGCCCTTTGGGAGGCCAAGACAGGAGGATAATTTGAGCTGAGTTCCAGACCAGTCTGGGCAACAGAGCAAGGCCCTATCTCTACCAAAAAAAATAAATAAATAAATTAAATTAGCTGGGCGTGGTGGTGCAAGCCTGGAGTCCCAGCTACTTGGGAGACTGACGTAGAAGGATTGCCTGGGCCTTGAGAGGTCGAGGCTGCAGTGAGCCGAGACTGTGCCCCTGCACTGCAGGCTGGGCAACAGACTGAGACCTTGACTCAAATAATAATAATAATAATAATAATTGAAATCAGGAGCTCAAACAGGTATTCGTACCCCCACGCTTATGGTAGCATTATTCACAACAGCCAAATGACAGAAGCAACTGAAGTGTCCGTCCATGAGTGGGTCAATGCAACATGGTACCGGCACATGCTGGGGTCTTATTCAGCCTTAAGAAGGAAGGAAATTCCAGCACATGCTAGCATGACGGCTCATCACTACTGGAAGGACATTATGCTACATTAAATAAGCCAGCCACAAGAAGATAAATACTGTATGATTCCACCTATATGAGATACCGAATGTAGTCAAATTCTTAGAGACAGAAAGTGGAGGAGTGTTTGCCAGGGGCCACGGGGAGGAGGAAATGGGGAATTCTTGTTAAGTAGGTGCAGAGCTTCAGTTTTCCAGACAAAAAGAGTCTTGCAGATTGATTGCACAAAAATGTGAATGTACTTTACACTACTGAACTCTACACTTAAAAATAGCTAAGACAGGAAACTTGTTACATGTATTTAACTATATTTTTACTTTTTTAAAATTAATGGTTAAAATAGTACTTTTATTATATATTTTACCACCATTTTTTAAAAAAATGTTTTTAACTAAAGCATAGAATGAGTTTGCAGGTGACTATTTTATGTAGGTTGGTTAGGAAGGACTCATGAAAGGAGGGAGGGCCCTGTGGATGCCTGAGGGATGCGTGTTCCAAGCTAGAGGGACAGCAAGGACAAAGGCCCTGAGGCCAGACCTTTCAGGCAGGGCGTGGAGGAGGCCCTAAGAGCTAAGAAAGGAGAATTCAAGTGGCTGAAGATGCAGCCAGCAGGCAGAGGGTGGTGGTGGGTGGGAGATATAGGTGGTTATAGGAGCTTTGGTGTTACACACACACACACACTCTCTCTCTCTCTCTCTCTCTGTCTCTCTCTCTCTCGTACACTTAATTGCTAATTGCTTCCACACACTTTATCACACTCAACTCACACTCCACCTCCTCTGCACTCTTCCTGCTAAACACCCACATTAGGAACTAAGTTGGCAAGAGCTAGGATTTGGCGCCCTCTGGTGGAATCACATGAGAAATGCCAACTCCAGATAACTGCCAAGATTACCAGGCAATTGAGTGAAGGAGCCTTGGCCACCCATCCAAGGCCCCCTTGTCTTCCAGATAAGGGAACTAAAGACCTCAACAGGGGTAGTATTTGCTGGAGACTACACAGGGAGTGGGAAGCTAGAACCTCACTCCCTGGCTCCCAGACTAATGCTGATTTGTATGATCCCGGCTTTTGACAGGGGTTTGTAGACCCCCATCTACAAAAACGTGAAAAAACAATAGTGGACCTCATCTCCCTACTGGCCAGACCCAGGAGGCCCTGGAGGCAGACTGAGCGCACTGCTGTGACCTCAGTTCTCAGGCCAGCTCCAGAGTCTTTGTGACAGTGGGGCAGCAAGCAGCCTAGATAACTGCTGCCTTCTAGTCCCTTCCTCCAGGTGGGAAGAAGCAATTCCTGGAAGGCCAAGGCTACCACTGTGGGGAGTGGGAGGCAGGAGGTGGAAAACACAACCTCCTTCCTACCCTTGACCCCCTTATCCAGGGGCCACTCCACTTTCTGCTCCTATTGTCCATCTCAGACAGCACAACTAACCAGCTACTTACTACCTTAACCACCTCTTCCCCTCCACTAATTGGAGGTTCTTATGGGCAGAAGCCAAATCTCCCTTGACTTTCTTATCGCTGTGGGTTATAATTAGAAGAGGAGTCACAGACCGGGGTTCAAGTTACAGTGTTCCTCCCTATTGTCCCTACCAAACCCAGAGGCACAGCCTCTCACATGGTAGCATGTCAGAACTCCACTCATTCATCAGTACTATGAGTGAAATCTTTGCCAATTCACAAAGGAGTCAAACATTTATTTGTAGTCTGGTTTGGTGACACTATTCTTGATGACAGAATTAGAAAAACTGATTGTGAGTTTGACTTGGAAATACCAAGTCATACTGAAGTTATAGGTGGGTGGCATTTGCAATGAAGATTACTGAGGCGGGGCATGTTGGCTCACACCTATAAACTCAGAGAATCGTTTGAGCCTAGGAGTTCAAGACCAGCTGGGGCAATAGTACAAGACCCCCACCTCTACAAAAACAGAAAAAATTAGCCAGGCATGGTGTCACGTGCTTGTGGTCCCAGCTACTTGGGAGGCTGGGGCAGGAGGATTGCTTGAGCAGGCGAATTTAAGGCTATGATTGCACCATTGCACTCCAACTTGGGCAACAGAGTGAGTTTCTACCTGCCTCCCTCCACAAAAAAAAAAAAAAAAAAGAGAGAGAGAGAATATATGATTATTGTTTGTAAACTATGTGTTACATGTCCTTTATATCAAGTAAGTTTATAATATATATGTTTATATAAGTTTATAATATATATCAAGTTTATATACAATACATATATACATACTTATGTATGTATTGTATATAAGCACAGATGCACACTCAGCATTTCCTCCTGGAGAGCTGGTTATTAAACAGTTACCAGCACACCTGCTGTGGGCCAGCATCTCCGCTACTTAAGCAATTTCTAAGCTTTCTTGTGGAGGGTTGGTCTAAAAATAATAATTTTATTAGTTAGTAACATAAGCAATCACTTTAATGGTCCATTTGCAAGCACACAAGTCAAATGTGGACATTTTAGGTGTTTGTCACAGCATTAGAAAACAGGCTCTGAAGGTCTCCGGGACCTGCCTTGGGTAGGGGCGAAGAGACAGCATTCCGAGTGACACCTGAGGGCCCCTCCTGTGCAGTGGCCTCACAGGACACACAGTAGGCCTCTGCTCAGCTCCCGTGTTACTGAAGTCTCCAACCACAACAGCACAGACACAGTGAAACGTTTCCATTGCAAAGCAATCTTTTTATTTTTATTTTTCCCTCTGATATGCTCACTAGAAATCCTCCAACATTCCATTTCCATTAGTAATGTGATTTTTTAAAAAAAAATCTAACCACTCACCAGTTCCAACCAGGCTCACTAACAGTTATGATGAGAGCTAACATTCCTTGAGCACCTGTAGGAGAGCAGGCAAATGAGCTGCATGGGCTCGATCACTCAGCTGCACAGCAATACCTTTATGGTATTGCAGGCACTACCCCACTTTACTGATGAACAAACTGACCTCAGATGTGGTAGGTAAGTTGCCCAAAGTCCCAGAGTGATGACGCAAACTTGATCCTGTCTTGTTTCTTTCCCATCCCCTCTCCCCTGAGGAGCTTGTGGTCAGGGGTGAGACCTGCAGGTACCCAGGTAGCTGAAATCCCAAGCAGAATGCTCAGCACAAGTGACATCCCAGCGAGGAGATGAACAGAAGCTGCAGGGAGCTTGGGGAAGGTGGACCGAGCTGCAGGAGCCGGATGCGCAGCCTCCGCGGAGCAGGGGGCGCGGAGCGGAGGGTTTGGCGGTGGGGAGCGCAGCCAACCCGCGGTTTGACCGGAAAGGTGGGCTAGAGTTAGATACGGGGCCCAAGGAAGCAAGTCTGTTTTCAGTTCCATTTTATTCTGTTTTATTTCACTCGACTAAAGAAGAGCTCTGGGTGGTGGCAGCTGGAAGCTGCCCGTGCCGTCCACCGCTCGCCTGCGTCCTCGCCCTTCAGCCTTTCTTCGGAGGAAGGAGCGTCCGAGCTCGGCTCGGTGCTGGCCGCGCGCTGCGAGCTGCGGATGCGAGGCCCGTGGCCCTGGGTCCCGGGCGGTAAGCCACGGCGATTTAGGACCTCGGTGGCCCGCGTCCTAGCCTGGCGTCTGCATAGGCTGGGACTCGCCCTGCCCGGAGGGGGCCCCGGCTCTCCTGGCCTTGTCCCGCCCGGGCTGTGACCCGCCCCGGCCACCTGGGGGCCGCGGGGGGCCACAGCAGCCCCGGGACGCGGCCCGGCGGGGAGAGGAGTCTGCGGCCTGGCCTGGCCCCGATCCCCCCGGGACGGCGCGGTCCCGGTCCCCTCCGTCCTCAGGTCCCTTTAGTCACAGAGAAAGCCGTCCCCCCGCCCCCGCGCCCTCGGCTGGCCTGGGGCAGGTGAGGCTGGGCGTGGAACAAAACGCGCGCCCCCGCGGCTTTTCTCCTCAGGTTATTTCCATTCGAGAACTACTGAGGCGGGAAGGAGACCTCAGGCTGGAGCCCGGAGGCAGGAGGGAAGTGTCCACCGACCCCGCGCCGCGGTCCAGAACGTTCCCTCCAGCGCAGCGGCTCCCGCTAGCCGGGGTCCTGGGGTCTCCGCCAGTCTAATGGGGGTCGGGTTTTTCCCGGCCTGGGACACACCGGAGCCTCCATTCTGCGCCAGAAGCGGGCAGCGCCCGGGAGCCACGAGCACAGCTCGCCTGAGCGGCGCCTGGCGTCAGCCCGCAGCGGCCTTTCCCTCCCCGGGGGGAGCTGAGCCCCCAGCATCCCCCACGGGACACGGTCCACGCGCTTTCGACCCGCGCCCCCGCCAGCAGGACCGGCCCTGCCACTGCGGCCGGGAGAATGTCGCGGACGCTCCGCGCGGCGCCCAGGCCTCACCCGCCAGAAACCGCCACGGGAGCCGCCAGCGCCGCAGGAGGTGGGAACCGCGCTGGAACCGTTGCGCTGAGCACGGCGGACCCCGGACCCCGGTTACCACCACCTCCCCGCAGTCTCCAGGCTAAATTACGCTGTTCCCGAAAACAAAGAAAGTGAGTATGTGGACATGTACCAAGAAAGTTTGCTATTGAAAGAAGTTTAGCCATCAACGAAACGCCTTTTACTAAGCGCTGGGTCAATCTCGTGGTCTTATTGTGGTTTTTTCTGGGGGATGGCTTCGACCTAGGCAAAATCCCCAGAACAAAACAGACAAAATCCCTGCTCTCCTGCTATTTATATTACAGCGAAGGAGAAAAAAAAAAAAGCCAAATAAGTAAAAGAGATGGTTATACTAAGTTGTGGGACAGGCAAAGAGAAAAAATAAGCAGGGAAAAGTAAACAGTTCTAGAGGCTGTAATTTGGAGAGGACGGCCAGGGAAGGCCTCCTGAGAAAGGTGCCTTGGAGTCAAGACTCGAAGGAGTTGAGAGGGCAAAACCGACACAGAAAGCAGGCAGATGGCTGGCAGGTGCAAAGGCCCTGAGGCAGGAACTCCTGCACCTGTTCCAGGAGGAGTGAGGAGAGCAGAGGGAGGGAGTCAGGGAAGGCGAGGGGAAGAGGCCGGGAACTGAGAGAGAACCCTTGGACGGCTGGGAAGTTGATGCTGCGAAGTGACTCTAAGGATACTACAGTCTATGCTAAGCAACGTGGGAGCCACTGGCGGTAGTGAGCAGAGGAGGATGTGATCTGATTTGTTTTAACAGGACCTCTCTGGCTGCTGCGCTGAGGAGGGCTGAAGAGGTAAGGATGAATTGATCTTTGATTCTTCTGTCTCTCGCACCCCCAATCAGAGAGCAAGGTCTTTCTCCGACCCCCTCCCCCACTTCCGCTTCCAAAGTATTTAGTTCTCTGCTCAAAATCGGCTTCTTCAGGCCACCCTTCTCCATCAGATTGGGCAGATCCTTATTTTAAATCGATATTCAATCTTAATTTAGAAATGATTTTTCTGACTATAAAACAAATACATATTCACATGAAAACTGTCAACAATTTAGAAACATAAAAAGGGAAAAAGCAGTCTTCAGGTAAACAAGGTGGTGGCTTGTTCTGAGGAGGACAGTGGAGATCATGAGACATGGTCAGATGCAGATGTCAATCTTTACATATAATCTCAACATCCAGAGAGAATCACTGTGGCCCTTCCATGTATTTCCATTTAAACTGTGTGGACCATGTGTATTTCTCAGGTGCCCGCCACCACACCTGGCTAATTCTTCTATTTTTAGTAGAGATGGGGTTTCACCATGTTGGCCAGGCTGGTCTCGAACTCCTGACCTCAAGTGATCCGGCTGCCTCAGCCTCCCAAAGTGCTGGGATTACAGGTGTGAGCCACCACACCGGGCCTAAAAACAGTTGTTTTGTTGTTGTTGTTTTTTGAAATGGAGCGTCACTCTGTTGCCAGGCTAGAGTGCAATGGTGCAATCTCAGCTCACTGCAACCTCCACCTCGCAGATTCAAGCAATTCTCCTGCCTCAGCTTCCCAAGTGACTGGGACTAGAGGCACATGCCTCTACACCCAGCTAATTTTTGTACTTTTAGTAGACAGGGTTTCATCATGTTGGCCAGGCTGGTCTTGATTTCTTGACCTCATGATTCATCCGTCTCAGCCTCCCAAAGGAAAACATTTTTAATGTCAATATATTATGCTATCTTATATACAATTTTTTTGTTTTGTTTTGAGGCAGTCTACCGTTTCACCCAGGCTGGAGTGCAGTGGCACAATCTTGGCTCATTGCAACCTCCGCCTCCCGGTTTCAAGCGATTCTCATGCCTCAACCTTCCAAAAGGCTTATACACAATTTTTTAAAATGTTAATGTGAAATAATTTATTCTTCTTGCTGAGTATTAGGCCGATTTCCACTTTTTTCTTGCTGTTTTGTGCCGCAATTAATATCTTTGTTCTTAAATCCTGAATCTTTCCTAATGGTATTAGCAATAGCATCACAAAAGAAGTTCATATTTCCAGTTTTTTCCACTCCCGTTCATACTCTCTGCTGCCACTGGGCTTACTTAGGACCTCCTCATGTGACTCCAAGAATAAAGTCTAATAGCTTTAGTTTGGCATTCCAGAGTCTTTAGAAACCTGGCTCTTACTTTTGTCCTGCCTCATTTTCTGTGGCTCCTCACTGCTTCCAGACACGAACAGCTTTATCCTGTGCCTATGACACCTGCCGCCCCATTCCTGCCCATGCAAATCCTATTCCATCTTGGTGCCTGCTCCCAGGGTGAATGGCTTGCTGCTTTGTGATGCCTCTAGTATTTTTTCCAGCTTTTAGCACATTGGACTGTGATGTGTCTGCTATGCCTCTTTTCCCTGTGTCATGTGGGTGGGGATGGTGTCTGGCTCACTTCTTATTATGCCAGGATAGCACCTGGCACATAGTATATAACATGAGAGTTTGTTGAAAGAATGACCAACAGTTAACTACAAACATACAAAAGCAGCAGAAACATCCTTGGCTTAAGTTGTCAGCACCACCTCCTGGAACCAGCAATGTAGGAGGCATCACATCCAAATCTGACCACGTCTCATGACCTGCACTGTTTCCTCCTCAGAACAGGCCACAACCTTCTTTACCTGAATGGCCACAGCTGCCTGCTGATTAGCCCTGTTCCCTCTTTTGTCCTCCTTCCCATCCCTCATTTAGCAGTCAGAGTGATGATGAATCAGACTGCAACTTTCCTCTGCTCAAAACCCTCCAAGTGAGTCCCATCACACTAGACTAAATCCAAGGACCTTGCAAAGCCCTGATCTGGCGCCTATCTCTGATTTCATTTCCTATTCATCGTTCCCTTGCTCACTCCATTCCAACCACACTACTCCTTGAACACACACCAAGAACACTCCTGCCTCAAGGCCTTTGCCCCTGCTACCTTTCTCCCAGTATCCCCGTGGCTGACTCTCATTTCATTCAAATTTCTGCTGAAATGTATCCTCAGCAGACGGGATTTCTCTGAGCACCTCCTCCAACACAGTGCAGACGACTGACCATAGTCACTCTAAGGTAGCAGTGCCCATCACCTCCTATCCATTCTTTTTCTTCATAGCCCTATTACTTTTGCTGTTACTTCAATTATCTTTTGATTCATTGCCTGGTTCCTCCCATTCAAATGTGAGCTCTATGAGGGCAGGGACTTCATGTGCTTTGTCCACTTCTCAATCCCCAGTACCTGGGGCTGCACCCAACATCTCATTGTCACTTGATGAATATTTGCTGAGTGAGTGAATGAATGTAGGCATGACTGAGGGTGACCTCTTCTCTGTATACCACAGGGCATGTTGAGGCTTAGATTTCCAGGGAGAGCAAGGAATGGGTTCTGGAGGACGGCTCAGCCTAGACAAAGTCCCCTTGTTACAAATCCCATGGCAGGGATAACTTTGGAAAGGCTGGATATACTGCATATACAGCCAGTATCCCTGTGATGGCCTTAAAATACATTGTAAGGGAGAAAACATTCCTCTTTTCACCCATGGCTAGCTTCTGGCTGAGGACCCTGTAACAAAACACAGATTAACAAGACAAAAAGCATACAAATTTATTTAACATATAAAGTTCATGTGACATGCAAGCCTTTAAAACTGAAGAACCAAAGAAACAGAGAAACTTAGGTATTTTTATGCTAAGTTTGATGAAGAAGTGGATAGGTGTAGACAAGTTATGATCTAATGGTAATAAACCGGGGGAAACTTAAGCAAGGCCTGGTTGCTCATGTTCCTCTCTGTGTCCTGGCATCTTCAGAGATAAAGACATTCCTTTCTTCGGGTATAGGAAGGAAACCTCTAGAAAGAAGGTTTTGTGATCTGCTTTAGGAGAAAAGAGTGAGGAGAAGGTGAATGTGAGTTTCCCACTTCTGCTGTTTTCTCAAATGCCAAGGTGGCATATTTTGGGGTAGTGTGTTGCTTGCTGTGGTTTGAGTGTGTTCCCCAGAATTCATGTGTTGGAAATTTGGTCCCCAGTGTGATGGGATTGGGAGGTGGGGCCTTTAAGAGGTGATCAGGTCATTAGGAGACATTAACACTGCTCTTTCAGGACTGTGTTGATTCTGATGGGAGTGAGTTCTTGCTCTCAAGGGACTGGATTACTTCCCGGGAGAGCAGGGTGCTCTAAAGCGAGGCCAACCCTCGTGTTTTGCCTTCTTTTTGCTCACGCCCACTTCCCTTTTCACTTCTCTCCATGCTATGACACAGTACCAAAGTCCTTGCCAGAAGCTGCCACCATGCTCTTGGACTTCAAAGTCTTCTAAACTGTGAGCCAAATAAACTTTTTTCCTTTATAAATTACCCAGCCTCAGGCTGGGCATGGTGGCTCACTCCTGTAATCCCAGCACTGTGGAAGGCCGAGGCAGGTGGATCACCTGAGGTCAGGAATTTGAGACTAGCCTGGCCAAGATGGTGAAACCCCGTCTCTACTAAAAATACCAATATTAGCCTGGCATGATGGCGTGTGCCTGTGATCCTAACTACTCGGGAGGCTGAGGCAGGAGAATCACTTAAACCCAGGAGGTGGAGGCTGCAGTGAACCAAGATGCGCCACTGCACTCCAGCCTGGGTGACACCACAATATTCCATCCAAAAAAGAATTACCCAGTCTCAGGTATTCGGTTATAGCAACAGAAAACAGACTGAGACATGTGTCCTGAACTTCATCAACATCCACACATATTTTAAATACCCCTTCCTTCAAAGGTGCAGCTCAATTTCTCTCCCCTTGAGTGTGGGTGAGACCTAGTGGTTTGCTTCTAATAAACATAAATGATGGTATATCACTTCTAAGATATGTTATGAAAAGAATGTGGCTTCCATCGTGGGTGGGTTTTCTGGTTTGTGACTGACTCACTCTCACGCTCGCGCTCACGCTCTCTCTCTCTCTCTCTCTCTCTCTCTCTCTCTCTCTCTCTCTCATTCTGGGAAGCAAGCTGCCATGTTGTGAGCAGCCTTATGAAGAAGCCTACACAGTGAGACCTACATGGTGAGAAGTCTACATGGTGAATTCTTAGTAACCAGTGAGAAACTGACGCCCATCCACAACTGCATAAGTGAGCTTGGAAGAAGATCCTCCAGCCCCAGTTGAGTCTTGAGGTGAGTATAGTTCTAGCCAACCATTAGATGTCAACCCCATGAGAAACCCTGAGCCAGAAGCACCCAGCTAAGCTGCTCCTGGATTTCTGACCCTCAGAGCCTGTGACATAATAAATGTTTGTCATTTGGGGATAATCCATTACACAGCAATAAATGACTACTATGGCCACCATGTTTTGTCTAATGCCCTGCAATAAGTAATTCCACAATGCCAGTACTTGTATTTCCAGGTGACTTTCTGTAAGAAGTTCCTCAGCCCACAACTTCTAGAAGAAGATGGGAGGAGCACTGAAGCCAGTCCTTTCTGGCACCAGCAATATGGTGAGTGTAGTGAAAAAAACATGGGCTTCAGGGTTGGACTGGGCTGGATTGTAGGCTCACTTAACCAACTGTGTGATCTGAAAGGCATTACTTAACATTCAGAAACTCCTTTTAATCATTTGCAACTGGTGATAGTACAACACACACATGGTAAGATTGTATTGAGATTAATTCTGCCAAGTGCCTGGCACAAGATACACATGACAGTTCACTCTCTTTCCAGTTCCTTTTTCTTGTTACTCATGCCCACAGGGTATTTTGTTACTGCTGCCCATCTCAAAAATGCCAACCACTTACCCAAAACTCAGGTGTAAACTCCCAAGCCTCATTCTTGAACAGCAGTGGATTTATTGTGAAGTTACTAAAATTCAAGTATCATGGATTATCCCATAATTAGCCCCTTTCAATGCCCTGTGCCTAATTTTGTATTCCTAATGTTGTATTCTTTATTTCCAAGGGGGTCCCTAATGAAAATATATCAGATTCTATGGGATGCAATTCAAGCAGTGATAAGAAAATCCATTGTGCTAAACACTTTATCAATGAAAATAAGAAAATAACGTGAAATGAATTAAATTTCCAGCTCAAAGCACCAAGAAACGAACAATAAAGAAAAGCAAAAGAAAGCATAAAAATAATAATAATAATAAAGCTAAAGGCGGCCAGGCACTGTGGCTAACGTCTGTAATACTAGCACTTTGGGAGGCTGAGGCAGAGGATTATTTGAGCTCATAAGTTCCAGACCAGCCTGGGCAACATGATGAAACTCCATCTCTACAAAAAATGCAAATATTAGCTGGCCGTGGTGTGCCTGTAGTCCTGCTCCATGGGAGGCTGAGGTAGAAGGATCACTTGAGCCTGGAGAGGTCAAGGCTGCAGTGAGCCATGATCTCACCACTGATCTCCCACCTGGATGACAAAGTGAGACCCTGTCAAAAAAAAAAAAAAAAATCTAAAAGCAAAAATTAATGAGAAAATGAACAGACAGTGGATATAATTAATAAATATAGTTTTTTTTAAAAAAAATAGCTAACAAGAAAAATGAGGGGAAACCATAAAGATACAAAATTTAAAATGACCAGGGGGAAATAACCATTGGAACAGAAAAATTTGTATTAATTATAAGAGATGATAAACTTCTATGCAAGTAAGTTTGAAAAACTGGGTGAAGTAGAGAGATCTTTTCCTGGGGAGATAAAAATTACCAAAATTGACCCTCACTAGAGCTGGAAAGTTTAAATGGATGAATTTTAATAAAAGAAATAGAAAAATAAGGAATTATCCTGCAGTAAAGCACCAATGGCTTTGACAGGAAATCTACCACACCTCCAAAGACCAGCTATCCCAGTATTCTGTAAAATATTTCAGAGCACTGAAAAAGAAGGAAAACTTCCCAGTTCATTTTATGAAGCTAATAAAACACTGATACCCAAACCAGATAAAGAGTTTACAGAAATATACAGACCAATATCATTAATAAATAGCATTGAAAATTTTTGAAATAAAATATTAGCAAACAGAATCCAACATCACATTAAGGAAATAATACACCATGAATTAATGGGATTTACTCAATAATTCAAGGTTGGTTTACTACTCAAAATCCATTAATAACATAGTTCACATTAATAAACCTAAAGGGGAAAAGAATCATATGATTATTTCCAGAGATGCTGAGAGACTTTGACAAAATCCAATACCCAGGCTGGGTGCAGTGGCACACACCTGTAATCCCAGCAGTTTGGGGAGGCTGAGGCAGGCAGGTCACAAGGTCAGGAGATGGAAACCATTCTGGCCAACGTGATGAAACCCTTCTCTACTAAAAATACAAAAAACTGGCCAGGCATGGTGGTGTGTGCCTGTAGTCCCAGCTACTCAGAAGGGTGAGGCAGGAGAATCGCTTGAACCCAGGAGGCAGAGACTGCAGTGAGCTGAGATTGACCACTGCACTCCAGCCTGAGTGACAGAGTGAAACTCTGTCTCAAACAAACAAACAAACAAACAAACAAAATACTCCTTCATGAAACAAACAAAAATCAACTACAACAAAACAAAAACCCTCAAGAACATAGGAACTGAGGTATGCTATCTTTATATATTACTTATGTATTTATTTTTGTCCTAAAGCTAGTATCTTATTTAATGGAAAAACATTAAAGGCATTTCCTCTAAGATCAGGCACATGACAAGGATGTTCTATTTCCACTACTCTTCAACATTGTACTAGAGATGTCAGCCAATGTAATTAAACAAGAGAAATCAAGTAGAGTCATAAGAACTGGTATAGAATTGTGAAGACTACTGTGACGATTACTTGAACTAAGTTAGTAAGACAGCTCTGGATGGGCTCACAATAAATGCTAGTCATTAATACCTTTTTTTTTTTTTTTTTTTTTTTTCCAGTGACAGGGTCTCACTCTCTCACCCAGGCTGGAGTCCAGTGGCACCATCACAGATCACTACAGCCTCAACCTCCTGGGCTCAAGTGATCCTCCCACGTCAGCCTCCCAAGTAGCTGAGACAACAGGTGGGCACCACCATGCCTGGCTTTGTGTGTGTGTGTGTGTGTGTGTGTGTGTGTGTGTGTGTGTGTGTGTGTGTGTGTGTATAGACAGGGTCTCACTGTGTTGCTCAAGCTGCTCTCAAACTCTTGGGCTCAAGCAATCCTCTCACCTCAGCCTCCCAAAGTGCTAGGATTACAGGTGCAAGCCACTGTGCCTGGCCTCCTTATCACTATTTGTAAGTGATTCACTGGTGTTACCATTTCAGCTCCCTGTGAGTTCCACTGGTGTCTGTCTTTCGCCTCCCCATAGTTCCCTGCCACAGTAGTCTAGAGAAGAGCAAGCAGTCTGCTATGATGGAAGGCAGGAGACACAGGCTAAAGTTGTGGCATGGTGACACTTGGCGCGTGTATGTGCCCAAGCAAATCTGTTTACCACTATGGATGTTAAGTCTCCTCATCTACAAAATGGGGAGAGAGGCCTCCCTGCCTGATACCTCTCATATTTTGGTGTATGATTACTGCTTGCCTGCACCAAGCAGATACGGGGTGGCAGGAGAAACAGCTCATGACCAGAGCAGAATAACCCCAGCAACTCTCCTTGCTTGGAATTATTTTATGCCTAATATGAGACCCTGCCCCCACTATGAAATGTTTCTTTGGGATCAGAATTCATGAACAGTATCTAAAAGATTCTGGGAAAGCCTCCATAGACCTGGGACCTACAGCCACTTTGTCAGAGAAGAAAGATGATTCATCCTGAATTTTGGCTCTAGCTTCTTTGTTAGGGCAAAACACATAGATCCTGCCAGCTGTTGGAATGAAAGGAGTATTTTTCTTGAGACAGTGACAAGCCTGAGGCAAGGGACACATTGTGACGAGAGTTTCCACTCAGAAACGGAGGTGTTCCTTATGAGTCTGACAAACCCGCCCCTTGGTCAAACTTGAGTAAGGCTCTTCTGAGTCCACTTTCTTTTTCTTTTTTGATTTTTTTTTTTGAGACAGTGTCTCACTCTGTCACCCAGGTTGGAGTGCAGTGGTGCAATCATGGCTCAGTGCAGCCTCAACCTCCTGGGCTCAAGTGATCCTCCAACCTTAGCCTCCCAAGTAGCGGAGACTACAGACATGCACCAACATGCCTGGCTAACTTTTACATTTTTTGTAGAGACAGGGTCTCACTATGTTGCCCAGTCTGCTCTTGAACTGGACTCTAGTGATTATCCTACCTCAGCCTTCAAAGTGTTGGGATTATAGGCATGAGTCATTGCACCCTGCCCGAGTCCTCTTTCTGACTTTGGACTCTTAGTCCAGTTTTAGCAAGAATTTTGTGGAGTCAGCTGAGCAAAAATCTCCTATCCTTGTATCTGATCGCATTCCTCATTCCCTACCCTAATAGCTTATCACCCTGGCCTGCCTTCAGCAAGAATCCTAGTGAGTTGGTCTATCAAGAATTGCCCTAGCCCTGCTTCCTCCTAGTACTCTTCTATCTACTGACCCTAACCTTGCTCGTTGGCCATATAAATCTCCATTTGTCCTGCTGTGTTTGGGGTTGAATCGTATTGCAGAACCCCACTGCAGTGGCTCCTGCTTGAATAAAGTCTTCCTTACCATCTTTTTTTTTTTTTTTTTTTTAAAGACAGAGTCTCATTCTGTCACCCAGGCTGAAGTAGAGTGGCACAGCCTCGGCTCACTGCAACCTCCACCTCCCAGGTTCAAGTGATTCTCCTGCCTCAGCCTCCCCAGTAGCTGGGATTACAGACACCTACCACCACACCCGTCTAATTTTTGTATTTTTAGTAGAGACAGGGTTTCACCATGTCAGCCAGGATGGTCTTAAACTTCTGACTTCAGGTAATCCACCAGTCTTGGCCTCCTAAAGTGCTGGAATTACAGGTGTGAGCCATTGAACCCAGCCCATTACTATCTTTAATAAGAGTCATGAATAACTTTTCTGTGTGAGCCTGTTTGATAATCAGGGATGAGACATCCTTCATGCCAGCCTCTGAGAATCCAGGCGTGCGCCCGTTGGTCTCAAAGTCACCCTCTCTCGGCTCCTTCTCCCTACTGGGCCTGGGCATGGTTCTGCAGCCAAGAGGAAGGTGGCTTTGCATGTGTAATTTGTGATTTGTGTGTCTCCTCCTCTTGCTCAGCATTCTTCCCTCAGTCCTGGCCCACGGCCTGGTACTCTGGAGCTCCATAAATACCTGTTGAGTGAATGAAAGGATGAAGGCTCCTGCAGAGAGAGAGGAATGGAAGAAAAGTGGTGTCTTTTGGCCCCAGACTTGGCTTTCTTTGCAGAGGCCTCAGGGAGGAACAACAAGGAAACAAAGGTGGCCTTGTCCTGGGCCCTTCCCTCCTGGCCCCACGGTCCTCCTCTGCATCCTGAAGGGCCTGGGGGAAGGCTGAGATGGGCCCCTTTGTTCTGCTTCCAGAATTCCATTCCTCTGGGTAGAGGCCTGGCTGCAGCTCTCTCCTTCCTCTGCCAGTTCTTCCTAAGCCCGGGGGATTCGCCAAAGCCTCGGACCTTCGCACCGCGGGCCTCGCTGTGAGGATGGGTCTCAGCTCACAGGTAGCTTCACAAATGGACACGGGTGCAGAGGGAAGAGGGGGTCCCCACCTGTTCCCTCCCAGTCATCTTCATCAGTGTCCCCAGCACCTATCACATGGGACAAATGGAACTGGGAGACTCCATCCAGAATGGGAACCCAGGTGAGCACTAATCCAGTGTGGGCTGCAGACTTGGTTTTCCCTGGTCCCTGACATGAGTAAATTCAGAAAATGAGGGTAACTGTTTTGAGATGTTAACTTGATGGAGTACTTTTATGACCATTGAATCAAATAATTTTTAAAGGGTTTGAATGGATTATCAGACCATGGAAAGATGGAGGAAATTTGAATGCATACCACTAAGTGAAAGATGTCAGTCTGAAAAGGCTACATAGTTCATGATTCCAGCTGTATGACATTCGGGGGAAAGCAAAACTATGGAGACAGTAAAAGGATCAATAGTTGCCAGGAGTTAGGGGAGAGAGGTATGACTAGGAGAAGCACAGAGGGTTTTTACAGCAGTGGAACTACTTTATATACCACTACAGTGCGGCATATATGTCATTATGCATTGTTCAAATTCATGGAATGGACGACACCAAGTGTTAACTCCAGCCAGAAGTGCTGGTCTCTTACCCTGCCCCATTCTTAGCACTGGGCCTCAGTTTCCTCTTCTGCAAATGAGGAGGTAGCATGATCTGACCTATCCAATTTGATAGTTCAGCAAATGTTTGGTTCTTTTGACAAATACAGGCAGCCTCTGGCATAAGGGGCCATAGACTCCTCCTCCAAACCTCGCCATCAAGATGCTCCGATGAAAGCAAGTCTTGGGCAATTCTGCCAAGCAGACACACTCATTAGCAAGGCTGCACACAACAGTTCGTACGCTTGGGAAAGTTCTAGCTGTCCTCAGACTCTCAGACACGTAGCTTGCTTGAAAGGTTGGGGCTTGAAGGAGCAGCCCACATCCCAGTCCATCCTGTGACAGTGTCACAAAGTGGGGACCAGATTCTTATGTCTCATTGGTACAGAGGCAGTGATGACTGTGCAGTGCTCCTAGCTGGCCACATATCATGAACATTATTTACTTCACCATTGAAAACTTATTTCAAACATCCCTCGTGCTAATTAATCAACCTCTGGTGTCATTTTGATACCGACATTTGAAATGCTTTATGAACACCTCTGGACTGTGGATTCCTAAAGAACGCCAGAGGCAAAACAGCTGCCCTCCCTATGGATATTCAGTTAACCTACGAGCATGTGTGTCATTCTTAATGCTTAAATATTTAAAAGTATACTACCATCCAGATGAACTAGCAAGGAGATAAATCACATGAACTCTGATTTCCCTCCTATGCTAAATATATAAAAACTATTGTATTACATTATATATATGTATATGTTTTTTGGGGTTTTTTTGTTTTTTTGTTTTTTACTTCAGTAGTCCTTAAAGTCAGAGAAGGAAGACAGAAGTAGGTTTTCTGATTTCGCCAATACCTTCAAGTCCTAGAATTACATGCCATTTCTCAAGTTGCAGGGACAATTCTATGAAGCTAAGACAGTCCCCCCTTGCTCCTGGTGTCCATCTACCTGATACTCTCAGACCTTATGCCTCCTTTCCTCTTCTGGTTGGTGCTGGCAATTTCTCATTCCTTGGGATGACTGAGGCCATCTCTGTGACTGTCCCCCCAAGGCTAGAAGCCAGACATTGCCCACCCTTGTGGTGCCCACCTGTCTTCCTTGAGCCTTTCAGATACACGGGGAGACCTGTAGTGGCAGGTGGAGGTGAGCAACAGGATTCAGAAGGGAAGGTGGAAAGGAATGCAGCTGGGAAAGAAACAGAAGCCCAGAGCGGTGAGAAAGGCCTTGCCAGGCCTGAGTGAGGGAAGGGAAGGCCGGTCCCTTGTCCTGCCTGGCTATGGGAGAGGGACAAAGTAGTTGGCTAAGAGCTGTGGGGCCTGCCTCACCTGGAGAAACCAGTTTGGAGGTACACAAGCAGCTGTGAAGGAGAGAAGAAAGTAGACTGGGCCACATGAGCAGTCCACGGAATGTCAGAGAGCTGCAGTGAGGCCCTCAAACAAGGCAGGGGCTTACCCGGGCAGTGGGCCAGCCTACAGTGGACAGTGGACAGTGGACAGCTGAGAGGACTCCTAGAGAAATCAAAGATCATGAGCCTGAAGGGGAGTTCAGTTTCTGAGAATGGGAGAATAAGAACCTAGAAAATGTCATTTTGAGATGTCACTGTACCCCCAAACACAGCTCACCCCACACAAGGGCCCAGACCCCAGCCTGTTGACGGGCCTCCATCTCTGCCCCATTTCTAAGGCTGTTTCCATAGTCCCCTTTCCACCCCAGCTCAGCACCTCCACATGGGAGTCTTCCCCTCCTTTTCTCCAGCCCTTGTCCCCACCACAGTTCCCATTCTGGCATGGTTTGTTGGCTTGGAGCCAGGGAGTCTGTGGTCTGGGGAGGCAAGCTAGAAATCTTAACAGCCCTTTCTCACAGAAACATGAAATGGCAAACCCATAGCTGTAGAGGGACCATGGGAAAATGAATGAACCTCATTTTTCCACATCTGTAAAATAGGGACAATAACAGCTCCCACTGCCTACGCTGTCATGAGCATAAAATGGGAGCGTGTGCAAAGCTCTTGGCCTAGTATCTGGTGCACAGGCAGTGCCCAGCAAGAAGCAGTATTTCACCTCCTATGTAACCTCTTCACTCAGTTCCTCACCTCCACTCATGGCTGGCATAAACTATTCTCCATGCAGCATGCTGATCTTCTGAAAATATGCTGACATCCATCACTCTCCTGAAAACTCACTGTTAGCAACAGGCAGTCCAGGCAGTCTGTGCAGCTTCTGCCCACTGCTGCCCTGACTCAGGGCTGTGGTCCCAGTGGCCTCTGATGTTCTTCACCTCTCTCTCTCTCTCTCTCTCTCTCTCTCTCTCTCTCTCTCTCTCTCTCTACCTGGAACATTTATCCCTGACCCTCTAAGTCGTGACTCAGCTCCAGTGTCATTTTCTCTAAGAAGTTTCTCTAACCACCTACTTACCTAGTCAGCAATCATCCCCAATCTGTTATTACTTTATTGATTTATTGTTCATGATCCCATGAGAAGGCAGCTCCGTGAAGCCATCGAGCCAAGCTCTTGCTGACTGAATGAAGGACACATGTTATCCACGGGCTTTGGATGCTTTATAAATTAAACTGGTTCAGTAGCCTGCGTGGCGAGCTTGACCACCACAGCTCCAAGTTCCCAGTCCTCTGGAAGACAAGGCCTGGCCACCTGAGTATAAACAAGTATTACACATCAAGCCTAGCAGCCCAAAGTAAACATTTTTATTCTCAACTCTGCCTTAGGGGTCTCTAATTTTGCAAGCATGAGTAAATGGAATCAACAATAATCCTCTCCTTAAATGTCTTGTATTAAAATTTCTCACTTAAAAAGTTTCCTGTTTTGCCTAAAGAGAGTGAGATTTGAGGGTGACCTGAAACAAGCTTGAGGCTTGTGGACACATAGGGTTAATCACCTTATTTCCTGCCAATTCACTGAGCAGTGAAAGGCCACAGGCAGCTAAAAATAGCAGCCCAGCAGAGCTTCCCTTCCAAGAGGAAAAGAACTTAGCAACAAAGAGAGACTCGAGGGGTGAAGTGGGCAAAGAATCATTAGCCCAGTTTCTGCCCATGCCAGGGCATGTGACCCTTGGGAATGCCACAATGCCCAGCAGAGGAAGGAGAGGATCGATGCTTTCATAACCTCCAACTTGGTGCAGCCCAAACCCAAATGGGCCTGGGCTGACCTGTGCATTTACCCCTGAATGCCCTCGGTCAGCAGACACGGGAGCCAACAACTGGGAAAACGTGTCCTCCACAGTGCTCTTTTTTTTGAGGGGGAACCCAGCTCCCAGCCAGGAAATGGCAGAGAGGAGGGGAATCCTTCCCCTTGGAGTGGCCTTCTGTTTTCCAGGGTTCACAGGACAGTCTCTCGGATGACCCCAATGAGGCTGTGTGGCCGCTCAGCCTCCACTCGCCGGGGCCTCCTCTCAGCTTGGGGCCTCCCCGCCGGTGTGAAGGTGCTCAGGTCGCCACAGCTCTGGAGGTGCAGCAGGCCAGCCTGTCTTTGCGAGGGCAGCGTGTGGGCCCTGGATGTGCTGGGCTGCAACGGGGCCATTATCTTTGGGAGAAGAGGAGGTGGGGAGAAGTTAAGTAAGTCTTACCAGATGTGGCTCTTTGACTTACCTCCTAGGTCCATCCACCTATCTTCATGTGTAATTGCTTTAAAAAAGGAAAAAAAAGGCATTTCCGAAAGTGGAACTCGGAATTCTGGAGGTTCTTTGAATGTAAATTCTCCAAATGTTCTACCATTTCAGCTGTAGACCCATAAACCACACTTAACTGATTTGTCCACTGCAATTTCTTGCTTTAACATTCTTCTCATCACTTTTCTCTAACTTCTCCAAAGTCTAAGTCAGTGATCCTTGCTGGCATCTCAGCATTATAACTGGGTTGGGGAGGGACAGTTACTGTTAGAAACATGAATTCCCAGCTGAATTGCCACAGAAATCACATAGCAATGGGGACAGTTAGCCTGGACTCAGGTTCAGGTGTCTGTATTTTTAAAAAGAACTCAAGTGAGAACCACTGATCGGGGCTAGGAACCAGGTGATGGATGTATAAAATGTTGACCAAAGTACGGACACAGTGGCTCATACTTGTAATCCCAGCACTTTGAGAGGCCAAGGCAGAATCACTTCAACCCAGGACTTTGAGACCAGCCTGGGTAACATAGTGAGACTCCATTTCTATAAAAAATTTTTTTTTAATTAGCTGGGCATGGTGGTTCATGCCTCTAGTCCCAGCTACTTGAGAGGCTGAGGCAGGAGGATCATTTGAGCCCAGGAGTTCTAGACCAACCTAGCCAATGTTGCAAGACCTCGTCTCTACTAAAAAACAAAAACAAAAACAAAAACAAAACTTAGCTGGGCATGGTGGTGTGTGCCTCAAGTCCCAGCAACCTGAGAGGATGAGGCCAGGATCACCTGAGCACAGGATTTCAAGGTTACAGTGAGCTATGATTACACCACTGCACTCTAGCCTGGATGACAAAGCAAGACCCTGTTTTTAAAAAAAAAAAAAAAAAAAAAAAAAAGTCAACCTAAACCATCCAATGATGCTTCCAATGGATCTGATAATCCTTTAAAAAACAACACAAAAACCAGGCCAGTTGATTTGTAGAAAGTCTTTAAGAATGATTCTTTTGCTAGATCTATTTTGCAATGTGTCACAAACATAATTTTGAATATATAATAATATCACTTACTTTGTAAAAATGGCAAAAATATGAAAAATTCCTCATCCAACTGGGATTTATGAGGAGAGAACTGTCCAGTCAATTTAAAAATTGCATAGCCATGTCTATATGACCTACAATACTGGTAGCAGCTTGGGAAAAACTTGGGGCTTTATTATTACCTAACATCACAGCACAATCATTTGGATGATGTTTTGTTTCATTTGTACCTTTCTGAGCTTTGAAGATCATTAAAAAGTTATTCCCCCAAAGATGGGAAATTAAACTTTATCAACAGTCTACTAATTACATTTGTCTTTAAGGTCTGTCTTGTCTCCTGATTCAGAATAAAAGTTCAACATTCATAGAAGTTGACTGTGTTACATACTAAGTTAGGATAAGTGGTTTTGATATCAGTGAAAATCAAAATGGATCTAAAAACTCCAATGTGCGAAGCCAGCTGGAGTCAGAAATAACAGGTCTCCTTCTGCAGTCCTTCCCTCCTTCTGCCTGGGAAAAGGTATGGCATTACAAAACCTCACCTCTAGGGTCCAGTCCTGGGAGGCCTAGCAGATGGCCCAAAATATATCACAACAATCTCAGCACCTGAACTTTTAACCTGTCTGGAGCACAAAGATCTAGAAAACATTTGTAATGATCACATCTAGTGAACCATACAAGTGCTTGTTCTTTTTCCCCAGAGCTATTTCCCAGGGAGCAAAACTTTGCAGAAGGTCCAGGCCCACTGCCTGGTGAATGCTCCAGCTCTTACTTCATCAGAGCTGGGCAGCCTTCCAGAAGTGGCTTCTGTTTATTGGGCTGTTTGGGGCCAGACAGAGGGAAGGTGACAGAGAATGATATCTGGAGTAGCTAAGGGACACCAGGATGTAAAATGTGTCCCCTACACAAGCTAGTAACTGGAGCCTGATCTGGAACCATCAAGTGATCAGACTTTTTAGGGTCTGTGGTTCATGTACCTCTTCATGCAAGTAATCAGATCATTCCTCCCCACTGGATCCCCTGAGGGACTGGGAGAGAGTTTGGCTTCTGGCTTCTGTAACAAGAGGCCAGCAGGTAGAAAGAGGGAACAGAAGGAAAAGTGAGAAGGGTATTTACTCAATCTGAGTTGAAAATTTACCTATGATCCTGAAGTTGGTAATTACCCTGAGAAATTAGCCCACTTCAATTGAAGAAGCATTCTGCGGGCATTTAATGCACAAAGACACAGAACCACATAACATCCAAATGCCATTGTGGGGTGCTGTCTACACCCTCCACCCCACTACCTGTAGCAATGAAGCAAACATCCAAAAGGGAATGGCTTTTAAAAGGGTTGGAGAGAAGGCTGTTACCAGAAGGAAACTCCATTCATTCAGATATAAAGGTAGAGAGACTACCTAGTCCAACCCTTTACTTTAAAGAGGAGAAACCTGAGACCCAACTGGATTATGTTCATGGCCAATTCTATCTTTTCTCCAAGTGGCTTCAGTTTTGGGGATTGCCTTGTACTTTTTAATCTATAGGAAGAATAGATTTATTCCTTTAGGACCCGTCGGCTTATTTATCTTGCCAAACAAGCTCTTAGAGTCTTGTCAATATTAAAATTTACCTATGTCATCATTTTCAAAGGCCTGAGAAAACATGCCCTATCAAACGAAACCTTCAATTCAGGAAACCAAATGTTGCATGCACTCCACACTGTCCATAGCCTTTGCTCTTATTCCTAGGACATACTCTTTTCTTTTTCCAGACATGCTTTCACATCCCAGAAAAACTAGGTTTTCTTCCCTTGAGCCAAGGGTGATGTAGGAAAGTCACCACACTTGAAAGCTCCGTGGCTTCCTCTCTCTCCCTCCCCTGACCTCCCAACCACATTTACCTGAAGACTGTGACTATGAAATTACTCTGCCTCGGACAGGAAATCGGACATGCCACTTGAGCTGCTATGAAAATGAGTTATCTGATTCATGTCTGAGATTAATAATAAAACTACCTGTTCTAGGAAACTGGCACTTGTGATGGCTTCCTCCATGTGCTCCTCATCAGACTTCAAAACAGATTTAATGTTTTCTACAAGTTCATGGATGTCTGGGGTCATGCTACAGGAGGACTGCTCCAGGAACCTCGCCACCAGCAGCTTGGTGTCCATGTAGGATTTGTAATCTATCAAAGACCGTGGTCTGCATCGCGAAGCTCTCGATCTCAGGCCTCTCCTCAAAGTCACTGCAGCCAAATCCAGTCTCCTTTCAGTCTGTGTCGCAGCTTCACAGCTGAGCACTGGGGCAGCTGTTGGCAGAAACAAATAACATGTACCCATTGGCCAACCCCTTTTGAACACATGCCTGTACCTGAAAGCACAGACCACAAAACTCAACATGGAAGCATCTGACAAATGCTGATAGCCATGCACACCCTGCTTTTCATCTTGCAGAAGGTGGGGAAACAACTGTGATACGAGGTTATTCCCTGAAGTCTAGTTCCAACTGGATATGGTCCAAAACATGTAATGGTGTGATGTATAACACCACCCCCAAGGTAAAGCCAGATGGTAGAGAGGAGGATCCAGAATGCAAACCACAATGAAGTTAAGTTTCATGGGGTATGACAAATAGATGGGGATGGATGAGTCAAGCAGGAAAAATGTGGCTGACCAATGAAAGGACGTTCCAAGGAGTGAGGATGAAGCAGTCACTTAAGAGAGGAAGGGGCTGAAGAGAGACAAGACTTGTCGGATGAAAGTAATGCTCTGGTCACTTTGACTATACCTTTGTCCCAAATGTCCTCAAGGACATTGTACTGACTTGCATTATTGATGCTCATACCATGGATATGAGGTAGATCTATAGCTATTGCAGAAAGAGAAATTTAGGTGCAGAAAAAGTACACATCATTTGGAAGTCAACAGAGGGCCTGGGAAATCCATCACAGGCTCTAATCTCCATGGCTACCTACATCAGCAAGGGTGTAAAGACCAGCAGAAGGCTTCTGCACTGTGAAGTGGGTGAAGCAAAACTCAGATCTGGTCATTATGTGTCCAGAAGCCAGCCAGCAGCCTTCAGTGTACACAACACTGGCATCATCAGTCAATGAAGGCCTGATAAGCAGAAATTTAGAAATTCAAAGACAAGAAGCAGGAGGTGAGAGCAGGTGAAGAAGGGGAGCACTCCTTTTCCTCTGGAGAAAGGCAGGCACGGGAGGTTCTAAACCAGGATTCGAGACTGTCCTCTCAGGCAGCCATGTCCATGTCACAGAGAACAAGAGTCTTTCAGAAGCACTCGCCAAAGACACTCATGTGTGAGAACAGAGTCAGGGTCTCCACTCTTCCACTCGAAGGCAACCTTTTGCCTTCCACAATGGAGGGCTCCAGCAGCTGCTGTCCTCATCTCCGCAGGTCTGCAGAATGAGAAAGAGTTCCAGAGAGATTTCCCTAAGAGGTGCAAACAGCTAAGTTTCCATTGAGGCTGTAGTCCTCAACTTGCCATGTTGGGTGTAGGAGACCCACAGTGAAGGCAGGTCTTGGGAATCAGAAGCCAGGCTGCCCGGCCACTGGCTTTCCGAGACTCAGTACCAGGCGGCAGGACTTTCCACTCAGAAGCCACTGTAGAGACAAGAGGAGTGTTTTCTCTGGCTCGCACATAGTCAGTCCAGAGCTGTGGCAAATAACACACTGTCAGAGGGGCAGAACAGAGACTGCAAGGGCTCAAGGCAGGACCCTAGAGAGAGCAGGGTGGAGGATTATCAGAGTTTTATTTGCACAGAGTTTTAGAAGAGCAGAGGTCAGCTCTGCTAGACTACTTCACAAGAAGAAGCCAGTGCTGGTGGAGTTACAGGAGGTTTTAATTTTCTTCCTTTAGTTTATTTTTAATAATTTTCTACAGTGAAGAGATATTTGGAGATGTTCAGGTATTCATATATTCAGAAAAAAATCCTCTATCGTTACTTTAATTTTTTTAAATGTTTAGTTATTCAGGTAACGTCTATACACAAACTCAACACAGAGAGAGGTGAAGTGTGTGGGCATATATATTTCATTCTATCAAAGTTCTAAAAACAAGGTCGGATTTCAATAATTCAATCTACTCATACATAGTAAAAACATAACAAATTATAGAAGAGGGAGTATACAAAAATCCTTTTGACTTTTTTTTAAGAGAATGCATATTCCCGTAGGATTGCAGCATCTAGAAATCAGAAGTAGGTGTGCATAATTTTCTTCATATAGCACCTAGCACAGTATCATATACAACCAAATTCTTTTGATGACAATGACTTAAAAGACATGACAGATGTATGTTCCTAGCATGCATGTAGAATATTTTACTTTCCCAAGGCCTCATAAGCTCTTTCAAATAAACACGTCAACTGCAGGGTCTCGAGCTGGCCAGAGCCACCTGCCTTCACCTGGCTCCTTTAGACAAATAAGCACAGGGCCCTGTGAAGAGCTTGGGGAATGACATCACCTCTCTCCTCGGAATGATGGAGCATGGGATCACTCTTCGATCTCGTCCTCAGGGGTGGGAGGGCTCTGTGGCTTCTCACAGGACACACCAGGGTTGAACTGGGAGTTGGCATGGATGCATTTTCTTCTGCAGGTATGTTAGGAATGTCCCCACCTGATTTTTTTTTTTTAAGAGACAAAATATACATTATTTCACCAGCTGCGGTCCTTGAAATGGACAGGAAACACCTGTGAGCCTAAACCTGCCAGGGCAAGGGTAATGTAGTTAACAACATTTACTCAGGCTGTGGGCCCAGTAAGTTTTTATATCACTGCACTACGGGAAAACTTGCCTTTCCAAACCACCCCTCCATGCCTAAAACAAACAAACAGAAAAATTTAAATCCAAGAGCAAAATAAAGGAGCCATGCCAAAATGTCAGGGGTTTTTTTCCTAAAGGTGCTTAGAGTCTTCTCCAGGGAAGCATCCTGGGACAGTACTGAAAAGCTCCCTGACAGCTCAGGATAAGCCTGATTCTCAGGAAGCTAATACCTGGACAGGTGAGGTGGCTGCCCTGTGGGCTGAAGAACCCCCAGATGGCTAAGATAGAGAGTCAAGTGGCCGCTAAAAAAATCCGTAAAACCCCACTGGAATTGGATAATATATGCTCATGAAAATAAAATCACATAATTTGTGAGCCTGAGTTGTAATTCGGGAAACTGTTTTAATAAATGGAAAGATTGACCAGGTACAGTGGTTCATGCCTGCAATCCCAGCACTTTGGGAGGCCGTGGGTGGGTTACCTGAGGTCAAGAGTTCCAGACCAGCCTGGCCAATATGCTGAAACCCCGTCTTTACTAAAAATACAAAAATTAGCTGGGCATGGTGGCACACGCCTGTAATCCCAGCTACTCGGGAGGCTGAGGCAGGAGAATCGCTTGAACCTGGGAGGCAGAGGTTGCAGTGAGCTGAGATCTCACCATTGCACTCCAGCCTCGGTGAAAGGAGCAAAGCTCTGTCTCAAAAATAAATAAATAAATAAATAAATAAATAAGATAAAATAATTAAAAAATGGAAAAATTATGAACATAGGAGACAGAACACTGCTTCATAATTCTACTTAGGATGGAAGGTGAACAGAGCACAGAGTATTACATTACAAATAGTACTGCTGAAAAATCACCTCCATCTAAAATTGCTAAGAGTTGATCCATTATTTATTACCATTTGCGATTTTGTCCTAGTGGACAATTCTCTGGGCCACTTAACACCTCCCCAAAGAGAGAAGGCCATAACAATGTTCCCTTAAATAACAATGATAAACGTAAACTGACTCTAGCACTTACTGTAGTACTGAAAATCAGAATTCACTAGCTGCTCAGACAGCATGACCTGGGCCCTAGGTTATAAATGATATAGCACAATCTCACCTCAAACCACTCTGCAATAGAGGAAATTTTTTTCTTCTGCCAAAAGTCTAGCTAATTTTTAGGAGGAAGAAAATCATAGATCAGAAAACACAGGAATACCAAATCAAACTCTGTAATCTATTTCATGGTTCCTGAGAGTATTTTGGCTCATAAAAAATTCTAAGGATATCTTTTTTCAGTTCACATATTTTCTCTGATTTATAAGCCCTAATAGTTGATGGTATTTTTGCGCCTGGAGAAAAAGATGTAGCTTGAACTATTTGCTGCAAGAATATCTGCCTCCAACAAAATACCAGACAGGATCATTATTTTATCATGGGTGTTTTTTTTTTTTTCATTTGTAGAGATAGGGTCTCTCTATGTTGCCCAGGCTGGCCTCCAACTCTTGGCCTCATGTGATCCTCCCACCTTGGCCTCCCAAAGTGCTGGGATTACAGAGATAAGCCACCTTGCCCAGCTTATTTTATCATGTTTTAATCTACTGAATCATGTCATAATGTATCTACTACCTTGAGTCACTTGTGTGCAGCACGGATCCAATGGGATCGCAGCAGCTTCTGATCCTTCTGGCATTTGGAATGAAGATCCCTGCATTGCACAAAAAAAGAGGGTTATTTTGTGGATGTTTAATTCAGCCCTCATCAGACTCAATGAACTCCTTAAAAAGATGTGTAGGGCCCAGTCTTCTCGCTGTTCTCTGGGGATGGGGGGTGCCTGTGTTTCCCACTTGCAGTCAATCAATGTACTTAGAATCGGGACAGTACCTGCTCCTGGTTCATCTGGCTCACCACAGCTTCATACGGCGGTGGGGGATCCAGAGGACAGAACACTTCCACACCTTTGATTCGAGCTCCATAGATATGTGGCAGGGGAATAACATCAGGACCAACCATCCTAGGAAAAGCAACTTGGCATCAGAAAGCACATTCTACGGCCTGGCCATGTGACTGCAGTGATGCCTGCATACTGACTTTGCCCTAAAACAGGCGTCCCCAAACTTTTTACACAGGGGCCCAGTTCACTGTCCCTCAGACCGTTGGAGGGCTGTCACATCCTGTGCTCCTCTCACTGACCACCAATGAAAGAGGTGCCCCTTCCTGAAGTGTGGCGGGGGGCCAGATAAATAGCCTCAGGGGGCCGCATGCGGCCCGCGGGCCGTAGTTTGGGGACACCTGCCCTAAACCATGGGGAAAACCACTTATCTCTCCATACCATGGTCCCGCTGGCCAGGAGAGGGAGAATAATAGAAGCTGCTCTCTGATGGAGTGGCCAGAGTTCCTTATGAAAATAACAGTGTACAAAATGCAACCCCATCATTCCATTTAAACCCATCAGTCAAAAAGCAAAGAATAATCCATAGAGACATAGAACAGATTAGTGGTTGCCATGGGATGGAGGAGAAGGCAATGGGGAGTGACTCTTTGATGGGTATGGGATCTCCTTGAAGTACTGAAAATGCTTTGGAACTAGATAAAGGTGATGGTTATGAAATAATGTGAATGTACTAAATGCTACTGAATCGTATACTTTGGTTAATTTCATTTTATATGAGTTTCATCTTAATTTAAAAAACAACTAAGGACTCAGGGAAATTCAGTTATTTCTTACATTCTGCATGGCTCTTGTTTTCATCCTGTGGCTAAAGAACTGTCAACAGCAAAATTCAAAATAATAGCAAAATCGTACACAATATTTCTCACCACTATTGATAGAAAATTCCACGAATCTCTGTTCAAGGTGCTAGATGATCTAGATAAGGAAGAATCTAAGTTTTAAAATAATTTATAAAATACATATACAATCCAGAAAACCTGTATTCCATGATGGAGTATCAGAGAATGAAAAAAAAAAAAAAAAAGCAAAAGTTTGCCTGTTCTTGAAATACAAAAAAGAATTTTAGAAAGCTAAAAGAAATGGATGAGAAAACAGATTATTGGGCTAGTTGCTTGCAGGCACTGCCTTTTGGGGAGAGGTATTCTCTGCATTTATAATGGTTTTGTTTTATTCCTTGTGGCCATGTACAAAATGTGATTGGTGGAAGAAAACAATTGAAAAGGATGTGATCTTCTTTTTTTCTAACAACAAAACTTCTGGAATTCTAGGATTGAAAAGAATGAGACTCTGCAACCTGAATGAAACGATGAGAAAGCACTCCCTCATTTTCCTTTATATTTGTCTGTTCATAAGCAAGGATCTCATTCCCTGCTTGGCCTGAAAGGGAAGGCAGAAGGTGATGTGCTAACACCTGAAGTGGGGACGTTTTCAGGTTCAGCACACAACACGTCAGGCCTCCGGTTGGAAGCGAGGCACTAGCACAAAGGGTCCCTTCGTGAGGCAAAGTTATCATGAAAGAGAGATTCTTCCCTGAGAGCAGGTTTTGCCAACGGGCTTCATTCCAACTCCCCTATTCCACTGAAACTGTTTAAGGCCTATAAATGCTGAGTGACTCTGAGAAGCCAGATGCTTCCTGAATCTAAGAATGAAAACCCTTTCCTGGCCAATGAACAGTGAAATTTGTTTTCATCTATGAGACCTATGGACCTCTTGTCCTCTCCAGAGGGCCAGCCTTCCATCCTTAAGGAGCATAGCCCTATAAGCCATCGTCCTAGCACTTACAAACACTTAACTTTTTCTCCCCAATAAATAAAACCTGTATTTCTTCACTGCTGTGTCTCCTGCCTGGAAAGTTTATCTCGCCAGCTTTCGTTGTCTGTTTGTTAGCTCTGATGGTCCCCGTTTGGCAGCTCTGATGGTCCCCGTTTGGCATTCCCAATGCAATGGCTACCTATGTGTCTGGAGAGAGGAGAGGGCTTGCTGAGGGCTAAGAGGTCAGAAGAACAGACTCTGTTTTAGATCCTAAACTGGCAGAATTTCTTCCAGAAGAAAAACTGAGGAAAGAAGAGGCATACTTTATCCAAGTTGATCACAAAATAAACAGCTTCTAGGGTAGTTATGATAATCCCCATAAAAGCTTTGCTTTGAAGAAAGATGCTGCTAGAGTTGACATAGAAGGAAAGATCCTTTCCTACTCAGCAATCTGTTTTATCTCATTTGAGTAAACAAGGATCCATGGAGGGAAATGGGTCTGCTACATACTGACAGGTTGTTTGTTTGTTTTGAGATGGAGTCTCTCTCTCTGTCGCCCAGAGGCTGGAGTGCAGTGGTGCAATCTCAGCTCACTGCAACCTCTGCCTCCCAGGTTCATGTGATTCTCCTGCCTCAGCTCCCGAGTAGCTGTGACTACAGGCGCACACCACCACGCCTGGCTAATTTTTAGTAGAGACAGGGTTTCACCATGTTAGCCAGGATGGTCTTGATCTCCTGACCTCGTGATCCATCCAAGTCAGCCTCCCAAAGTGCTGGGATTAGTGGCATGAACCACTGCACCCAGCTGGGTTTTTTTTTTTTTTTAAACTCTTCTTTCCTCAGATCCCCATGGCTCTCAGCCCTGGTAAGGTGGGTAGAATCACCTTGGGAGGTTCTAAAACTATGGATGGCCCAGGCCTCACTTCTAGAAATGCTGCATTCATTGCCTGTGGTGGGGCCCGGAAATATTACTGTTTTCAGTGTTCCTAGGGCATTCTAAGGTACCACCAAGACTGAGCACTATTGCAAAGGAAATGGATAATGGTGATTGAAATTACAACCTTGTTCTACTGGGCAAGTTGATCTAATTTTTATTATGAATGAGGGCCTTCAGAAGATAGTTGCCTAATAAGGTCAGGCTAAGGTTAAGAGCTAAGTGTTTCTTAAGAGTAGGACACATACCGAGAGCATTTTAAACCGCAGAACTAACACTAGGGAAGCTAGGTCTCAGCTGTTCTTTTCATAAACCTTCTTATGTTCATTATCTTATAATAATACTCCCCATAGCCATGTGACAGCGAAGGTGAATGAGGAAACTGAGGTCAGAAATGGTGAGAACTCATCCTGGGTCACCCTCTGCAGAGGCTCTAGAACCTGGGCTCTTTCAAGTTCATCACCAAGTCTCCAGGAAGCCTTCACTCATACAGGCTCAGGAGCACTGAAGATGGAAATTCAAAGCATGTTCTACTTTACTGCCACAAATAGACCTTGAAAACTCACTGGAGGGGAACGCAGCACTGAATACACCATTGACCAAAGAATCCTCCTCCTTCTGTACTGGAAAACTGTACCCTGTGACTGGGCATGGGGTTCCTGCATGGAAAGGGGAGAGGGAAGTGCCCTCCCTCCACCCTCTATCGCTGAGCACTGGCTCAACCCCAAGATCGCCCAGGTTCACTTGAGTTTGGGTTTGGAAATTCTCAGGAAAGGAAATGAGTGGGGTTTTGGGGGCTCTGCTTTAAGAAATGTCCATGTCAACCACATCAATGCCCGAGACACGCCTGCTCCATCTTCAGTTTGATTTAATATGCTACATCACCAGAGTAAAAAGCAGGTCCATGTTCATGAAATAGGTTGGAGACTCCTTGATTCCTGGCTCAAGCCAACTTCTGAGAACAGAGATATCCTGGAGTCATGGGGGTAGTATGCATGGCCCCTCCTCTATTACAAATCAATTCACAAAGTAGCCAACCCATCTTTGGACAGAAACCTCAACTGCAATCAGGCTTCCGTTTATTACAGTAACACGAGAAGCCTTTTCTCAAGGAGATACCAATGCATGAAGTGGTTGTATTTATAGAAGTTAAATAAATAAACCCCTTCTGAGAGATCATAATACCTTACAGGAAATGGGGACCCTCTGCTGTGTGAAAACTCTGAATAAAGCTGGTCATAGAAATAGTAACAAAAACATTCATGAATATTCTTGCCTGTCTGCTTACGAGAAAGAAAATTACTAATTGAGTTAGTTAAACTGTAATATCTATAAACCTGATTTATACTGTGAATCTAGCAAATTTTTAAATTTTTTGTTAGAACATGTATCTAAACGTGAATAAGCTCAGCCCTTTTGAATAAAGGAAAGTAGACTGCACTCTGATATTGGTAAAATTTTTCAAAATCAAGGTGTTTGCCCATTGCTAATATAATTACAGGGCTCCAGTCAGGTATTTTGGACTGGGCAATGTCTTCTTTCTCACAAGACTATAGTGATTTAACTCCCTCCTTCCACCTTCTTTCTAGAAAGCTCTGAGTGATAAAGCCCTTGATGAGAAGCTTGTCTGTTTTCTCCCAAGCTGGATTTGGCCAGAGGCTGTCTCAGGACTCAAGAGAGACAAATCCGAGGATGCACCTTGATCTTAAAGAGTGGAAATATCTGCACTGAGAAGCAGTATTATGAGAAGCAGAGAAGAGAAAGGAAAGTGAGGAGACAGGAAGGTCGGGAGTGCTCAGAGCACACTGCGGGATGGCACGGCTCCTAAACCCACATGAGTCACTTTCCCTTTCTGCCACTGCAGGAAACTAAATCTGTCTATTGCCTCCTCCTAGGTCAACGGAGTGCTCATCCGCAAACTCAGCGCCAAGGAATTCTTATTGGAGAGGGTATTTCTCATCCCCACCATGAAATATCAGTCATTTTTGCTGTCCTCCAATGTTCCCTCTACAGACAGCCTGAGAAAGGACTAAGATTTGTACAAATGTGTCCTCAGGTACAGAAAGAACATGTGTTCTGCTGCCATACCTCTTCTGCCTCTGTCATTCTTGGCTCATTTCCTGAAAGATTAGGGAAGCCATCCCAGCCCCTGAGGCTTTGAAATTCCAGTAGAGGCCACTCCCTGAACACCAGAGAGGCCGAACTGTCCCATGGGCCTAGCCCAGGCCACCTGTCACCCAGCTTACACCCCCTCCAGCCCCTGCCTGAGCAGGCAGGCGGGGGAGGGCATAGAGGTAGGGCTCGGGTATAACTCTAAGGGACAAGTCAGTAGCTAACCCACTGAAAAGAACGCTAACAGTGTCTGGGTGGCCGCCCCACTGGTGACGTATCTCAAAGTCACATACGGTTGCCCTGGATATTAGAAAATGCTTCTCTAAAAACCTCAAGCTCAGCACCAAATTGGTTTGATCAGTCTCTACATGTACTACAGCAATTAAAAAATAGACATTTCTGGCCCTCTGAATATGAAGCTAAAGACACTAGTCTTTCTGTGGAATTGAGAGATTTTTCTTTAAGAAAGTTAAACAGAGGTTTGCTCATCCTTTAAACTTTAAACTCAGCTTAAGGTCACTTCCTCCAGGAAACTATCTCTGACTGCCTTACCACTCTGGGTTAAGTGGACCTTCTCTGTGCACCAAACATCCCTCTTTTGAATACTATTGTGATCCTTCCAACATTTTAATGACCTAGACTATGAGCTCCTTAATGTTAGGGGAGGAAGCAGGTCTAGCTCATTTTGAATTCCAATAACCCAGCACAGCAACTACTAAGCAGCAGAGGATCCTGTTTGTTGAATGAATAAAAGAAGTCTTTCTTTAAAAAGGTTTGATTCTATAAGTTGCTAACAATCAGACAAAGGTATGCGGCATTTCATTATACCAATAATAATCCTTGATATTTAAGAAAATCAAATTTTTGAGCTTGAAATTTGAAAAGGAAAGTAAGTATGAGATCTATTTTTTCTAGACCAGGGAGATACAATTAAAAATTAATCTCTTTTTAATGGCTAGGAAGAATTTCATGATTGGTGAGACCTGCTGATGGTGTTACAATGAAACATCGATTTGGCCTAACTGGAAGTGTTTCCAAGGCAACAGCGGCTCTCAGTCATGTCAGATTATAGCTGTTATCTCCCTGGGTGTCAGTTTTCCGTAGAAAGCTAATTGAAATTGAAAATGTCTATCTTTAGGTTCAAAGTTTAACTTTTCTTTGGATTCATCTGGTTTATCAGACAAAAAGAGACAGAGAAAGTAAGACAGAAAAGAGAGAGAGAGAGAGACAGAGAGAATAGAAACCCCTGAAAAATAGTACAATTGGTTTTCAATTTTCTAAAGAAGGCTGGCAGAGGTGGACTCTCTAAAAGCCAGACCTCGGGGTTCACCAGCTGATTTTGTCACTCATTAGGCTAATGTTGCTTAAGTCAGGCACAGTTTTTCTTTTTCAAAGAAAAGTCGGATCTCATGCTGTGAGTTATGGAGACGCTTCAGTCTTCAGAGCCCACAGCACCCCACTCAGACTGCAGGGGAACTCAGGAATGATACCTGCGGTTCATCCGGGGTGTGCACGAGTAAAATGTGGCAAAATAGGAAGGGGGAGGCACAGGCGGCACAAAGTCATCAGGGTCGGGGATGTGTCCATGATCTTCCACTTCTTCAGCAGAAATCTGGGATTCATCCTGATTAAACAGCAGCTCAGTTAGTCAACAGCCTTCCTTACAAAGGCACGAGGAGAGAGGCAATGGATGGCAGGAAAGGGTCCACGGGCTGGCTCCGCGGAAACATGGGCATGGCGCCCTCGGGTAGACTTACGATGCAGGATCTCCTGGTTGCGAATATCTGGAGGTAGCGGAGGGCGGCGGCCACCAAGCAGACGGTGGTGGTCAGGGCATTCAAGGCACACAGGGCAAAGAGGACTTTCTGGGGCAAGGAAACAATGGCAACACTAAGTACTTCAACACGCATGACCAGAATACAATGCAGACACTCTTAAAAATGATAGTAACACTCTCTCCATAAGACAATTCTCAGGAGAGGGTGCATGTAAAGGACTTAGGTGGTATTTAGTTCATGGAAAGCGCCCCAATAAATGCTGGCTATTATTATGACCCTCATGCAATAATGTGTACTTCTTAATTCAAAAAACTTATCTTAGAAGCTCCCTGTCATAGAATGACCTGGTATGACAGTACTTTTCTTTGCAAGCAACAGAATATTGTCAGGAAACGTTCCTTCCAGGAGAGCAATGAGTTTCTCTTCTGAGGCTGATGTCCCCAGGGATAGCAATTCCCAGCCTCCTCCCTCCCACAGCCTCCCACCAGGACAGCACACTGCTTAATTTGTGGCCACTGATTCTATTTAAGAGCAGTTGGCTGCGCTGCCCCTTGCACTTGACGAGGACGCTGCAGGGGCCGGCCCAGCCAGCGTGTATAAGGGACTTGTCTCCACTAAACACATATCTCAAAATAGCAGCAAAGCCCATTCCAAAAGCTTCTGTTGCTACAGTCCTGGCTCCTTTAGTGGGGCTTTCCCCAAGCTAAGTCCTGGCTCTGAAAGTTTGGGGGTGACTCAGCTACCAAAAACGCAGAAGCCATGGAAAGCAGGCCATCTCTACATCCCACACACCCCAGAGCTGGTAGCTTGGAACAGTTGTCTCTTTGCTTGGAGATTCTTCCTCCTCACCGAAATGAAACGCAAAACAAACATCTAAAGAAAGCTGGCGGAAGTGGACTCTCTAAAAGCCATACCTCTGGGTTCACCAGCTGATGATTTCGTCACTCACTGAGCTAATGTTCCTTAAGTCAGGGCACAATTTTTATACAACTCCCTGATGAAGGCTAATTGGGTATTTCTCTTCAACTGGGATCATCTGTTTGTTTAATCTCTTTGGTTTATTATAATTGTTGCTTATTAAACAAGAGCTAAGGGGCTTCAATTCCCCCTATATTTTCTGGCCAGTCTCTCTCCTTAGGATATGTATTGCAGACTGGTAGCACTCAGTGGTCCATATGATCCACGTAAGCAAACAAATGAGTATCAGAACAATGACACAAGTGTGCAACTTAAAGGTTTTGCTAAAAGCTATACCATATATACGTGTGTATGTATACATATACGCATATGCATATGTGTGTATGTGTATACATATATATAGTCAGCTCCTTTCCATTTTTTGCTGTCTTACAGTTCTCCAACACAAAGAAAACTATTCATACACAGTTTAACACACATAATAACCCATGGTTCTTTCTGCATTCAATTCTGTTTCTGGGTACCAATGAGGGGTCACTCACATGTGCTTTCCAGCAGCTTAACTGTTTGAGGGAGGTAACAAAAAATAAATATTTCAGGTAACTTGGCCTTCTTTGGGGGCTTGGTGGTGTATTTATCAATGGGGGTGGGAATCTGTTCAAGGTACCTTAAGTAGAAGGTGAACAGCACTACAAGGCTGAACCGGAAAGAGTTTCAAGGCATTTTCTTTGTCTGTGCATTTGGCTGGTTGAAATTCTTCACAACAGAAGCAAATCTTGCCTTCACCTAAGTCCACCTTAAGGGAGGAAAGGTAGAAAAATACTTTAATTATTAAAGAAAGATACCCTGGCTCCACCATAGAGCACCAAACATGTAGAATGAGATACGGCAGGGTTCTGTGTCAGGCAATGTCTCTGTTGGTCAGGATGGGCTAGGGTACGGCATGATAACAACCAAAACGTAAATTTCAGTGGCTTTCCCAACAAAGGGAATTTTAATATTCCTCCTCTCTCCTTTAAAGTCTCCAGCTGAGAACTTCCTGTTCTTATACTAATCCTGTTTAGAACTAACAGATAAGCAGTTAAATGAGATGAAGTATCAGCCTGCATTCTGCTCCTGTACGTGGGTCCCACTCTTCCCCAACAGGAACCAAATTCACTTTTTTTTCCCAACACAATGCACTCTGATTTCCATTTTTTGCACTTGGTGCAAGCCTTAAGATCTTAACCTGAAAGCTCTATCTCTCTCAGACAGTGCTAGGCATCATCTTATAAAGTACTCCCTTCCCAGACAAGTCCACTCTTGATACAAAGCATTCAGTTAAGTGGAAAACCAGGCCTATGTGGGCTGCACACACGTGAGTGCTTTACTCATACGACATAGATGCCCCACTCTTCAGAAATTTCAGCTACCTGCAACCTCTGGAGTGAGCCAGTCTGGATGGCAAAATTTTCCAGATGGGTGAAATTTAATTCCTTTAAACAAATCTATTTGAAAGTTTACTCATTATGCAAATGATCATGAATACCAATTAATTTGCCCACTGGATACAAAGAAGCCCTGAGACTATGTGCAAAATGATTCCAGGCAACTGTGCCCTGTGTGTTACTGCTCCCCTATTCTTGATCCTTGCAGAATCTAATACCTTCACCTCCATTCCTAATCCCATCTCTGCCCAATATTTCTAAAACCTTGTTCTCACTTCTCATCAGTCACTTCAGCCTATCCACAAACAAATCTGTAGAAGTCCCCCTGATGCTACATAACGAGGATCGACCCTGTATTCTTGGTGCTTTTGCCTGAAGACGTCAGAGCCTTGGCTTCCTCCCATCGCCTTTCAGCTGCAGTGTTCTTAACCCTACCTGCACATTCGAATATTCTGGAGAGCTTTTTAAAAAATGATGATGCCGTGCCAGGCGCAGTGGCTCATGCCTGTAATCCCAGCACTTGGGAAGGCCGAGGCGGACAGATCACGTGAGGTTGAGAGTTCAAGACCAGCCTGACCAACATGGAGAAACCCCATCTCTACTAAAAACATAAAATTAGCCAAGCATGGTGACACTTGCCTATAATCCCAGCTACTCGGGACTCTGAGGCAGGAGAATCACTTGAACCCGGGAGGCAGAGGTTGCAATGAGCCAAGACTGAGCCATTGCACTCCAGCCTGGGCAACAAGAGTGAAACTCCGTCTCAAAAAAAAAAAAAAAAAAAAAAAAAAAAAAAAGATTATGCCATCTTTGGCACTCAGGAACTACAAATTAAAGTGACAGTGAACTCTCACTTTGACCTCATCAGACTGGCAAAACTTTAAAAAGAGAGAAACTCTCTTTGCTGATGGAGATATGGAGAGCCACTAGTAGAAACTGAGTCACTGGTGAGTTTAAGCCCTTTAATGAAGGAACTGGCTCTCTATTTTAAATTAAAAATACTCACTTCCCCAACGACTCTAGAAAACTCTTGAGCACCACATGATCCAGCAACTCCATGCCAAGGTATTCACTCAAGAGAAATGAAAACTGCCTCCCCTAAACAATAATGTTCACAGCAGCTTTGTTCATAATACCACCAAACTGGAAACAACCCCAATGTCCATCAACAGGAGAACAAAAAAACAAAAACAAATTCTAATATTTTTATAAAATGAAGTCGTGTTCTAAAAAAAGGAACGAACAAGAGATACAATATAAAAATATGGAAGAATTTCAAGAACATTATACTGAGCAAAGAAGTCAGACACAAAAGTGTTCAAACCATGTGACTCCATGTATATGAAGTTCAAGGACAGGCAAAAGTAATCTATGGTGAAAGAAACAGGAACAGTGGTTGCCTATGAGGGAGTAGAGACTGCCTGAAAAGAGACACCAAAGAATTCAGCGTGATAGAAATAATGTTTGGAGTATAACAAACAAAATTTGTTTGGAGTATAGAGATTGTTTGGAGTGTAACGTGAGTGTATACATTTGTCAAAATGAATGTATACGTTGGTCAAAACTTATAATGAACTGCACACTTAAGATTTGCGCTTTTCACTGTCACTTTTACCCCAATTTAAAAATAATGGTTAGAATAATAAAATGGTTGAATTTGTAATAATAAATGAGACAAGCAGGAGAAAAGACATATTACTGAGAACAATTCTTTATCCTGGAAACCTACTTCCTCTTAGGACTAAAAGTCTCCCTGAGGATATGCCAAATGATATTAATGGCAGCACTCTGTCTACTGGCCAAAACCCAAATCACAACAGACAATAACAAAATAAGGAACTAACTTGGTAAAAGAAATCCAGGGTGTTAGTCTTCATTTAATCTATCTCTAAGTGATACATCTTTAAGTGATAAAAACAGGCTGCAGGGAAGTACATACAATACACCCCATTTTTAAAAAATCATAAAAAACCCCACTGCATACATATTTATGTAAGATTACATGACCATGAAAACATTATGAAATATAATTCCCCAGCCTGTTACTAAGGATTTGGGGTGACAGATGTGGGCAGAGTGAGAAAGAGGAGAGAAGAGCAACCCCTTGCCCAAAAAGGTTTCATTTGTCAATAATTTCCCCAAAGGAAAACAACAGTTATAACATGATCCTGTTGATTACATGTGTTTTTGTGCATAAAGAGATGCTTAACACACAGCCAAATTTTTATTTGTTAGGGGGAATTCAAACCATATTTAAGTTCTGCCTAACACTTCATGGCTTGCCCAAAATTTTATAACTGTATCATCAGAAATAATCACAGAGTTGGTTTTGTGATAGGAAAAAAAATTATTAAAAACTTAGTGCAAACCATATTCTGATATAGAGAATATATGAAGAACTTCTACAACTCAATAACCAAAAAAAAAAACTTAATTTTAAAATGGGCAAAAGACTTGTAGAGACATTCCTTCAAAGGAGGTATACAAATAGCCAGCAGGCATATGAAAAGATGTCAACATCACTAATCATAAGGGAAATGCAAATCAAAACCAAATAAGGTATCACCTTATACTTGTTAGCATGGCCACTTAGAAAAAAAAAGCAGGAAATAACAGGTGTGGAGAAAGTGGAACCCGTGTGCACTGTTGGTGAAAATATTAAATGGTGCAGTTTCCTCAAAAAATTTGAAATAGAATTACCAAATGATCACTTCTGGTTATATGTCCAAAAGAATTAAAACCAGGGAACTCAAAGACATATTTGCATGCCCACGTTTATTACAATGTTATCCAAAATAACCAAGAAGTGGAACCAACCTAAATATCCATCACAGATGAATGGATAAACAAAAGGTATCATGTACAATGGAACTGTACAGTCTTAAAAAGGAAAAGAATTCTAACACATACCACAACAAGATAAACCTTGAGGAGATGATGCTAAGTGAAATAAGCCAGTCACAAAAAAACAAATAGCATTTTATCCTGCTAGTATGAGGTACCTAGGGGTAGTCAAATTCATGAAAGGGAATGTGAAATGGTGGTTGCCAGGGGTTGGAGGATTGGGAGCTGTTGTTATTTGATATGCACAGACTTTCCGTTTTGCAAATGAAAAGAGTTCTAGAGACTGGGTGTACAACAATGTAATATACTTAGCTCTACTGAACTGCAGACTTAAAAATAACTAAGATGATAAATTTCATGCTATGTGTATTTTACCATAATTTTTTTTCCTTTTAAGTTCAGTGATGGTACAGGTCCACAACCTCTTGCTCACAATGCTAAAATCCAAAAAGCTCTGAAAACCAGAAGTCATGATACAGCCTGCTGTCCCAGACTCCACTATGGTATGTGCAAAATATTTCATCTTTTAAAATTGGAATAACTCTAAACGCTGACACACACCTGGCCTCTAAAGGTTTCAGATAAAGGACTGTTGACCTTTATTCTGGCAATATCCATTTTTTTCTCTTTAGATGAAAACATTCAGAGGCTGACTGACTGTGGACACCTGATCCATCCATTCCCTAAGTAATGATGCATTATATCACTATGGTTCCAGGGTTTCGCTGGCTGGTCCCTGCTTTGGAAAAAGTAATTGACAACTTGGGTGAAATAATTAGCAGGCAGGTCTTTGTTTTGTTTTCCCACTTCCTGTTACCCACTTCCGGTTTCACTTCAGGACAGTTGCCTGATGTTGAATCTTACAAGTCTTGCCAGGAACATCTGACAAGCCAGGGTCTGCCTAGATGCATAGTGATGTTTTAGGAGTGCTTACCAGATCACACCTGGGCACACTGGACACAAACTGGGCCCCTTGGCAGCCTAGGATAAATCCCGCTAGATTTAAGAGGACACAAACCACAGAGAGCAGCACAAAGAGGTTTACCTGAAATGAAAAGAGAATGGACAGTTAGTAAAAGATAACAGCTACATTCAGACATAGTTTTATCTGATTTTTAAAAACCCACATTCTCTTCCAAGAGAAAATTTTTTTTAAAAAAGGGATCAGAACTGTGTTTTTAATGTACAAACTTTTTTCACATTTTAGAGTTGTTAAAATTGTGCTGAAGGATGCCATTGACTCTTAAGTCTTCTTAGTAATTCTTACTCCCTTATCTTTCATCCACATATTACACTAAGCCCTGGCTATCTCCTCCTTGAGCCACTCTTATTTTTTTTCTTTCAGTTTTGTGGGATCAGCAGTAAATAAACAAATGGAGAACTCCAAAATATAAGTGAAACCTCAGGACATCAAGGAGCTCAGAGCCTTTACTATCCAGAAATCACAGTATGCAAATGAACATAAAGATGTGTCTTTTTCTCCATTTTGAACACTTTAGGTACTAAACAATGCATGCACAAAGATTTTCCACGTACTTTTCTCTAAAGTTAATTATTACAAATATTACTTCAAATAATTTAAAAATTGATAGCAGTCAACTGAGAAGCCAGTGTTTACTGAGTACAAATTAGAGATTATGTAGGCTTTTCAGCTTGAGAGCCATGATTGTTAAGGAAATAAAATCTTATTGCAAATACAAAACCAAATATAAAAGATTAGAGGCAGTAATTATCAGTGTTGGAACCAAGCGTCAATTCAGGTAGCTGATATGTCAGAGGTGGCTGGTAAATGAGTTCACATATGAACTCTAAGGAAGAAACCTTGTTCTTCAACTATTGTTATTCCAACTCAAGCTTGAAAGCATTTCCCCAGACTCATTTGATGAGTCAGTGTTTAATATCGCATGATGCCACTTCACCTAGGGGGAATTCCTTCTTCTCCAAGAGAAGTTTGGCTTCTTTCCTTTTATTGTTAATTTGGATGCAGCCTGTCATCAGATCTTGGGGAAAATACTAATGGAAGCTGCTGTTGTTACTGCTTCCCAGGCTGGATTCCTCAGTGTCTATTGGACTTGACTTGAGCAGCATATACAATATGCCCCTTCTTGCACTGTGTCATTTATGATTATGCCACAGCTTCTTGGAAAAGGAGAATACATAATTGGCAAAGGACACAGCTTGATCTTCCCACATATGCTTCTATTACATACTAGCGGTTGCTACTCAAAGAAATCTAATATAACTGGAATCTTTATATCCAATAACACAATCACTGTTACTGTGGAAAGTGTTGAGTTTTTCTTAGGAAATTTTCTTCTAAGATCCCAGCACTTTGGGAGGCCAAGGTGGGGGGATCACCAGTTCAGGAGTTCAAGACCAACCTGGCCAACATGATGAAATTGCGTCTGTGCTAAAAATACAAAAACTTAGCCAGGCATGGTGGCAGGTGCCTGTAATCCCAGTTACTTGGGAGGCTGAGGTAGGAGAATCTCTTGAACCTGGGAGGTGGAGGTTGCAATGAGCCGAGACTGCACCACTGCACTCCAGCCTGGGCAACAGAATGAGACTCCATCTCAAAAAAAAAAAAGACTGACAAAACCACGTGTTGGTGAGGATGAGGAACGCTTGGATTCTCAGAGACTGCTTGTGCAAGTATAAGATGGCACAACCACTTTAGAAAATTGTCAGTTTCTTAAAAATTAAATATAAATCTCCCATGAAGAAGAATTGCAAATAATTTACGAAGCCACTGCCAAATTCTACCAAACTTATAAAGAAGAAGTAATACCAATTCTCCTGAAACTATTTTAAAAAACTGAAAGAGAGGGAATTCTCCCCAACACATTTACAAAGCTAGCATTATCTTAATACCAACACCAGACAAGGACACAACAATAAAGAAAATACCCAATGTTCCTGATGAACACAGACACAAAAATCCTCAATAAAATGCTGGCAAACTGAATCCAACAGCACATCAAAAAGTTATATATCATGATCAAGTGGAATTTATCCCACTCATGCAAGGATAGTTCAATATACCCAAATCAATAAATGTGACATATCACGTCATGAGAATGAAGGACAAAAAGCACATGTTCATCAATTTTAATATCCCTTCAATGGACTAGGCATAGAAGAAACACACCTCAACATAATAAAGACCATATATGAAAAACCCACAGCTAATACCACATTGAATGAGAAAAAGCTGAAAGTCTTTCCTCTAAGAACTGGAACAAGACAAGGATACCCACTTTTACTACTTCTATTCAAAATAGTACTAGAATTCCTACCCAGAGCAATCAGGAAAGAGAAGGAAATAAAAGGCAGCCAAATTAGTAAAGAGGAAGTCAAATTTTCCCTCTTTGCAAATGACACATCTTATGGCTAGAAAAATCTAAAGACTCCCCCAAAAGACTCTTAAATATGATAAATAAATTCAATATAGTTTAAGGATACAAAATCAACATTCGAAAACATCAGTAGCATTTATATATACAAATAAGAAATGAGCTAAAAAAGAAATCAAGAAGGCATTCCCATTTACAATAGCTACAAACATATATATACACACAAACATATATAACATATATATGATATATATGTTTGTAGCTATATAAAACACCTAGGAATAAATTTAACCAAGGAGGTAAAAGACATCTAGAAAGAAAATTCAAAACACTGATGAAAGATATGGAAGAAAACAAATAAAAATATAAAAATACATCCCATGTGTATGGATTAAAAAAATTAATATTAACAAAATGAGCATATTTCCCAGAGCAATCTAAAGATTCATTGCAATCCCTATCAAAATACCAACAACATTTTTCACAAAAATAGAAAAATAAATCCTAAAATTCACATGAAACCAAAAAAGAGCCCAAAGAGCCAAAGCAATCCTGAGAAAAACTGGAGGCATCACATTAACTGACTTCAAAATATACAAGGCTATAGTAACCAAAGGAGCATGTATTGCTATAAAAATATATAGAGAGACTAGATGTGATGGGTCACACCTATAATCCCAGCAGCTTAAGATGCCAAGACTTCAAGACCAGCCTTGCAGCATAGAGAAACCTTGTCTCAAAAAAAAAAAAAAAAAAGTTTAATTAGCAAGGTATAGTGGTGTGCGCCTGTAGTCCCAGCTACTTGGGAGGCTGAAGTAGGAGTTTTGCCTGAGCCTGGGAAATCAAGGCTATGGTAAGCTGTATTCATGCCACTGTACTTCGGCCTGGGTGACAAGGCAGCACCCTGTCTCAGAATAAAATAAAATTTAAATTAATAAAAACAGACATATAGACTAATGGAACAGAATAGAGAACCCAGAAATAAATCCAAATATTTACAGTCAAACCAACTTTTAACAAAGGCACCAAGAACATACATTGGAGAGAAGACACTCTCTTCAATAAATGATGCTAGGAAAATGGAATAACCATATTCAGAAGAAAAAACTAGACCCCTATTTCTCAACATATACAAAAATCAACTCAAAATAGATTAAATACTTAAACATAAGACCTGAAACTAGGAAAATGCTAAAAGAAAACATAGGGAAAACACTCTTGAACACTGGTATAGGCAAAGATTTTATGGCTAAGACCTCAAAAGTACAGGCAACAAAAACAAAAATAGACAAATGAGACTATATTAAACTAAAAAGCTCCTGTGCAGCAAAGGAAACAATCGAGTAAAGAGACAACCTGTAAAATGAGAGAAAAGACAAACTATTCCTCTGACAAGGGACTAATATCCAGAATATATAAGAAACTCAAACAATTCAACAGCAAAAAAACCCAAATGATTCCATTTAAAAATGGGCAAACAATGTGGACAGACATTTCTCAGAAGAAGACATACAAATGGTTAACAGGTATATGAAAAAGTGCTCAACATCACTAATCATCAGGGAAATACAAATCAAAACCACAATGAGAGACCATCTTAACCTAGTTAGAATGGCTTTTATCAAAAAGACAAAAATAACAGATGTTGGTGAGGATGTGGAGAAAAAATAACTCTTACACATTGCTGGTGGGCATGTAAATTAGTACAGCCATATGAAACACAGTATGGAGATTCCCGTAAAAATAAAAATAGAGTTACCATGTGATCCAGTAATCCCACTACTGGATATTTATGGAAGGGAAAAGAAATTAGTATATCAAAGGGATTCCTGCACCATTATGTTTACTGCAATACTAGTCACAATATCTAAGCTATGGAAGCAACCTAAGTGTCCATCAACAGATGAATGAATAAAGAATATATGGCATATATACACATTGAAATGTTTAATTGGCCATAAAAAATAATGAAATCCTGTCATTTGCAGCAATCTAAATGGAACTGGAGGAAACAAGCCAGGCACAGAAAGACAAATATTGCGTGTTCTCATTCACATGTGGGAGCTTAAACAGTTAATCTCATGGAGATAGAGAATAGAATTACAGTCACCAGAGGCTGAGGTGGGGGTGTGGGGGTGTGGGGGATAGGATCAAGGAAGAGAGGTTGGTTAATGGGTACAAATATCAATTAGATAGAAAGAGTAAGTTCTAATGTTTGAAAGCAGAGTAGGGTGACTATAGTTAACAACAATATATTGTATATTCCAAAATAGCTAGAAGTCATGAAATGTCTCCAATACATAGAAATGATAAACACTCCAGGTGATGGATATCCTAAATATCCTGATTTGATCATTATATGATCATTATTTTGTTGCTATACATGTAGCAAAATAGCACATTTACCCCATATGTCCACATATTATGTATCAATTTTTAAAAACTGTATTGAGTGAAATTAGCCTGATACTGTATGACTTCACTTACTTAAAGTTTAGAAATAGACAAAATCGTCTATAGTGACAGAAATTAAAAGAGTGATTGCCTATTTGGGTTGAGGGCAGGGAGGGAGGAGATTGACTAGAAACACATGAAAATAATGTTCTGGGGTGATAAAAATATTCTACCTCTTGTTTTGGGTGGTGGTTACATGCATTATTCCAATTGTCAAAATGTAGCTAACTGAACACTT